AGTGAAGAGAGGAGTAGAAGCTCAAGTGATAAGGAAAATTTCTGGTTAACAAATGTTGCTGGAAACCGGGGTGGTAAGCATGGAAGTGACAGTCCATCATGGAGAAAGAACACTCAATGGGGCAAGGAGGAAGATGGAGCAAGGAAAGAGGAGGAGAAAGCAGTTGAGTGCCCTTCGAAGTTTAGTCAGGATGACCAAACGGGGTCCAAAGAAAGCGAGAAACTGATTTTTGAGGATAAATCAAAAACTCTAGATTTGTTTGAAGGAATAGAAAACACTGATCATGTACCCAAGTCAGAATCTGGTCGGGAGTCAGGTCAGAGGGGGTAGGAGAAGAAAATTTGATACACGATGGAACAATACAAGTAGACAAGGTGAAGTCCCAAACTTTAACATCCACAACAGTAGGACAAGTAATTTTGGATAGGAAAACCATGAAAGGAGGGAAACGTCAAAGTCAGGGTACTTTCAAGCGATATGAAAGATCTAATGGAAATAAAGGTCAGGGTCAATCTTTCAAAACAGAGTTGAAGAAAAGAAATGTCGACCTGATGGAATTAGACTTGGAGGCTCAGATTATGAAGAAAGCAAGAATGGATGTGGACGAAGTGTTTGCGGCTATAGAGAAAGAGGAAATAAACAACCCTGAGAAGAAGAACGCTGGGCTGGAGGGACAGCCCGGCGAACCAAAATGAGGATCACAACCTGGAACTGTCGGGGTTTGGGGAATGGCCCGGCAGTACGTGGGCTTCTGGACCTCCAGAAGCGGGTGGACCCCGATATCCTCTTCTTATCCGAGACAAAACTGGATGAGAGAAGGACGCAGTGGCTCAAGTACTTGTTGGGAATGTCAAATATGGTGGTCAAGGATTGTAAAGGAAAGAGCGGAGGACTTGCTTTATTATGGAAGAGGCATGTGCATGTTGAATTGCGTAATTATTCGAGATATCATATTGATGTAAAGATAGTGGAGCAAGATGGTTTTACATGGAGATTTACGGGCATATATGGTGAGCCTGCGACTGATAAAAGGGATAAAACATGGGACCTTCTGAGGATCCTCGATCAACAAATTAAGCTTCCATGGTTGTGTGCTGGTGACTTCAATGAAGTTTTATATTGCCATGAAAAGAAAGGTGGATCAGCTCGGGCTACTCGGCAAATGGAGACTTTCAAGATAACTTTGGCAGATTGTGGCTTGCGTGACCTGGGATACATGGGTGACAAATACACTTGGAGAAACCATAGTCATGAAGCTAGTAAATATATAAAAGAAAGACTTGACAGAGTCGTGGGGACCCGAACTTGGTGCAACAGGTTTCCTTCATATAAGGTAATAATTGGGGATCCTAGACACTCGGACCATCGGCCAATGACCATTTATGTAGAGGGCACGGATAAAGCCATGAGAAAGCATGGAGGCCACTGTGGCTATTAGATTTGAGGCGAAGTGGCTACAAGAAGAAGGATGTGAGGAGGTGATTAGCAATGCATGGTCTACTGCAGAGATAAGGGGCGAAAACAATTTATCACAGAAACTAAGGAGAGTGGTAGAAGACCTGAGGCATTGGGACACTAATGTCCTAGGTGATTTGCAGAAAAGGATCAAGGCACTAAAAGTTGAGCTAGAACAGGTGAGGAGGGCACCCATTAGCCATTATACAGTAGCTCGAGAACACTTTGTGCGGGAAAAATTGGATAGATTAGAACTATAGCAGGACATGTTTTGGAGGCAGAGAGCACATGTTAAATGGCTCCAAGCTGGAGGCAAAAACACTGCTTTTTTCCATGCTTGTGCTTCAAAAAGAAAGAAGAAAAACACAATTGGGAGACTAAAAAGGAAGATGGAGCGTGGGTAGAGGGTGAAGATCGCTTAAAAGAGCATGTTGCAAGCTATTTTTCTAATCTGTCCACCTCTACAGTTGGGCCAAGAACTGATGAAATATTGCAGACAGTTTCACCGAGGGTAAATGCACAAATGAATAAAAGCCTTTGTGCTCAATACACAGAGGAGGAAGTTAAGGAGGCTTTGTTCAATATTGGAGATCTCACAGCACCTGGGCCTGATGGTATGTCTGCGGTTTTCTTCAAAAGGTTCTGGCATCTAGTGGGAAACACAGTCACAGAGGAGATCTTGAAATTCCTTCGAGGAGGCCAGATGCCAGAAGGATGGAATGATACCATGATCGTCTTAATCCCAAAAACAGCAAATCCACAAAGCATGAAGGACCTAAGACCGATCAGCCTCTGCAACGTCATCTACAAGGTGATCTCCAAAGTTATTGCCAATAGATTAAAATGTATTTTGCCTGATATCATATCCCCCAATCAAAGTGCATTTGTACCGGGTCGTAATATATCTGATAATATCCTCTTGGCCTATGAACTAACTCATTTTTTGCAGACAAAAAGAAGTGGTAAAACAGGATACGCGGCGATAAAGCTAGACATGAGTAAAGCCTACGATCGAGTTGAATGGAATTCAAGCTGGGATTTGAAAGAGAATGGGTCAACCTAGTGACGAAGTGCGTGTCAACAGTTAAATACCAAGTCAAGGTCAACAAAGATGCAACTGAGGTAATCATCCCCCAAAGAGGATTACGCCAGGGTGATCCACTCTCACCGTATTTATTTCTACTATGCGCAGAAGGTTTTTCTGCCTTGTTATATGATGCTGAAAGAAATGGTAGCTTGAAGGGAATCAAATTATGTAGAGAAGCGCCAAGTGTGAGCCACTTGCTCTTTGCAGCTCCTTGAAGCAAATGAAAAGAATGCCCAAGCAGTTAATGATATACTGGAGAAGTATGAAGTTTGCTCTGGCCAAGTAATAAACAAGGATAAGTCAGCCATCCTATTCAGTAAGAACACCAACCAAAGGCAGAAAAGAGAGATGATGGATATAATGGGCATTACAGAGGAAGGCTTGAAAGGAAGATATCTTGGGCTGCCAGCATATGTTGGAAAATCAAAGTCCAAAACCTTTCAGTATATTAAAGAAAAAGTGTGGGGAAAGATACAGGGTTGGAAAGAGAAACTTCTATCAAAAGCAGGGAAAGAAATCCTAATTAAAGTAGCAGCCCAAGCAATGCCAGTATACACTATGACCTGTTTTGATCTAACAAAAAATCTTTGTGACGAGCTTAGCTCCATGATATGCAAATTCTGGTGGAGCCAGATGGATAAAGTTAACAAAATACACTGGACATGTTGGGAGAAGCTTTCTAAACCGAAGAGAGTGGGTGGACTAGGATTTAGGGACCTTCATGCTTTCAATATGGTCATGCTTGCTAAACAAGGATGGCGCCTACTTCAGAACCCGTCATCATTGTGTGCCCAAATACTGCAAGCTAAATATCACCCAGGAAGCAGCATACTTGAAGCTATGCCAAGGAAGGGAATTTCGTATGCATGGCACAGTATTTTGAAAGGAGTGCAACTTCTGAAAAAGGCATAATTTGAAGAGTTGGGAATGGACGAAACATCAAAATCTGGACAGACCCGTGGCTCCCAAGAGGAATTACTAGAAGAGTTACTTCATTACGTGGGAGACAAGTGATTTCTAAGGTTGCTGACCTTATAGACCCAGTGACAAACTGTTGGGATGTCAGCCTTGTGCGCCAAACCTTCAATGCAGAAGATTCTGAGATAATCTTGCAGATCCCCATTTATGATCGTACACCTGACTCGATTGCGTGGCATTTTGACAAAAAAAGGAATCTTCTTGGTGAAGTCAGCCTACAAGGTAGCAGTGGATAGCATAGAACGTGATTCAACACATGGCCAACCATCTAGTTCAAGAAGCGATGGAGAGGCAATTGATTTTGAATGGAAGAAACTATGGGCGTTACCTCTCCCAAATAAAGTCCTCCATTTTCTTTGGCGTATAGCAACATATAGCTTACCATTAAGAATGAAGCTGAAGAATATAGGCATGGAAATAGATAGTAGATGCCCAGTGTGCCTTAGATATGATGAGGATGGTGGTCGCTGTTTTCTTAAATGCAAAATGGTGAGACGGCTGTGGAGCTTGGCACAAATGGATAATATTCGAAATAGGCTAATGTTATGCAACGATCCTTTTAGCTTATTCAATGAGTTGTTTCGCCTGACAGAAGAGGAGAGCATAAAGGTGTGTGTCATGTTTTGGTTATGGTGGCACGAAAGAAATAAGGCCAATGTAGGAGACACGATGAAAACGCCAGATGAAATTCTAGCTTCTATTAACTATCATGTTAATAATTTCAGGAATCTTAAGAAGCAGAGGAGCACCCAGAAGCAGACTTCCACGGCAAAATGGTCTCCCCTGGCAAACGAATTCCTGAAAGTAAACTCCAATGGGGCGTTTAAGGAAGCATCAAAATCTGGTGGCTGGGGTTTTACTTTGAGGAATAGTAATGGTATGCTTTTGGCTGCAGGAGCAGGAAAGCTGGAATATGTATCAAGTGCCCTCCATGCTGAAGCTTTAGCCATGGTGTATGCAATCAATGCAACGTCAAGCATGGGAGCCAATCGTGTAATTTTCGAAATGGACTCGATGGAGTTGAAGCAGGCTATAACAAGTCAGGAGTATGATAGATCAGCTCTAGGTTCTTTGTTTCAGGAGATCAAATTCCAACTTAATGTAGCTTTTGATTATGTTAAGCTGAATGTATGTCCTAGAGCATGTAATAATGCAGCACACACTATAGCTGCATATGGTCATGGTCTAGAGAGTGGCGTATGTGAGACATGGTTAGGCCACTTCCCTGAGTTTGTACTGAACTCTGTTGCTGGCGGTTTAGCCAGTTTGTCATCGTAAGGAATACTAGTCTGTTCTTTTCAAAAAAAAAAAAGAACAGCTCAACCTGTCCCTTGTCCAGACTCACCATAGACAACAGCCACAAAATAATAAAAACAGCGACCTTGTTCGCAACAGGGCCAGACTGCCCACAAATATCAGATTATGTTCTGCTCGACTTGCGAGCATACATGAACCAGGGAGGGAGGCTAATGGTTCGTCGCTACGAAGCAGGATCCTCTGCGTCTGCTGATGGTCCAGGTTGTTCTAGGTAGAGCTGCATCTTCAAAGGATCACACCCCATTGACTTGATGGGGGTTATCTGCGGCGGCTGCATCCACGCCTTGGTGTCCGTGGGGATCCACAGCCGAGCCTCGTCCTCCTCCTTGTCCTTCGCACCTTCTTCCGCGGGGAGGGATCGGAAGTAGGCGGTGATCTCCCAGCTGCTATCTGTCACAAGGCAAAGCGTGGCGCCTTATAAGCTCTCCCGGTGATGGTAGTCACCGCTGGCTGTTGGCCTTTACAGAAAATCTCGAGATGCTGAAATCGTCCAAGAAAGAGATGGGGTCGACTACCTGACGGAAGGGGCTTTGTGAGAGGTCCAGCGACGGTCAGTTTGATCAAGAACGCCCGCAGAGCAAATTCCAGGCTGGATTCTTCTAACTCGGAGCCATAGGACTGGTTGACTGCAAGCTTGAACACAAACTTCTCCAGTGGTATGTGATCTTTGTCATGGAAGATGACCACAACCCTCTCAACCAGTCCCTGGGTTGTAAGAAAACTTATGGTCAGTTACAAAGACACAACCAGCCTGAAATCTTTACACAATCAACAATGTTTCAACACCAAGGGATCCTCGGATCTCACCGTTGTTGCTGAAGATAGAATCAAGTGCAAAATTAATATATTTGTTTCCTTCTTGCACGCTATACGATACAAGAGCCCTCGCAACAAGCATATGGTCAAAAAAGGAGGAACAGAAGTGTACCAAAACTTTAAAGCTCAAGCACTATAATCAACCTATCAAGCTATCCCATCCATTTAATGAGTTCTGTTGATAATATAATTACTCATAGAGTACATTTCATTGCAGGAGGAGGAACAATCAGGGGAACAAAACACACCTTTTGTATGAAAGGTAGAAGGCCAGTAGTCACAGAGTGGATATAGTCAGCAAGCTGCGGGTGCACAGCTTTCTGGACAACTACATTCATGTACCTTCTCCTCTCAAATGCACCTACACACGCATTGTGCTTAATCCATATCCAACCAAAGAAAATGACAAATAACAAAGTTACCAATGTGACTTAAATACAAAAGGGGGAGGAATCCTTACAAGTGGGATAGAAACCTTTGAGGAAGACAATGCAGCTGACAGCTACCTCTAGAAATTCAACAATCACTTGTGCAATTTGACCTTTTAAAGCCAACCCGAGTTTTAGTGAGATGACAATGTGCAACTATTTAAAATAAAAGTCAGCTTCTGGGGCAAAAAGGAACTCATCATCAGCACTTTACCCTGTGGAGTTTGATTCTTCCGATCCATGGCCCAGTTCAAGTAAATAACTAAATACTGGAGTTTGGAACTTTCAGGCTGCTGGTTTTACATTCCCATGACCAACACAGTGATACAGGTGAGCGGGCACATGATACCCTGCTGCCAGATTAGTTTAAGCCAGAGAAACCAAAGCTGGGTTAGTAAGTTAGGGTAAAAATATAACTGCCAGACAAGAACATGAGAGAAGAACAAATAAGTGATGCACTGGACAGCTAATTTTCTGACATAGTAACATCACAGCAACAACTGTGGGTATTACCTAGCACAGATTGCAATACCAGAAGGAAACATCTCAAATAGACCAATAAAATCAGGATAACAGTGTGCACTTAGTTGCACATTAAGTGGCTCATACATAAATGTCTGGAAAATAAACTTCCCGCCTCATAGAGAAATGCAAATACGTAGATATACTTCGGGTTTCATCATTTCACAAAAAGAAGATTATAGAATCATAGGTACTGAGGTATGGTTACCATAGAAATGTATTAGCTTTCACATCAGGAAGGACTCTGCTACTAACAGTTCATTAATCCCTAAAAGAGTGTTGTATATAGCTTCAGTTTCAAAATGTGACTCGTCCCCTGCAAAGAACTCATGCACGCATCCATCCACTTCAATGAAAGAGCAACCAGGCTGCTTGGTCTTTCTGCTACTGTATATTCCTGTCCTCACTTTGTTTGCATCAACCCACCTTGATGTGGTAGCATAGACAGTAGAAAGTAAAACGTCCCCTCCACACCTGTTTGGCTCCAATACTTGGATCCTTTCTGCTACATACTCTGCAAGTCCCACCTCTCCACAGGCTCTGCAGGCAAACAACAACGACCGCCACATTACAACATCAGGAGCGATAGGCATCTCTTTAATGAACTGTTCTGCCTCTGCCAATAACTTAGCACGCCCCAGGAGATCAACCATGCATCCGTAGTGTTCAATCCTTGGGGCAATACCGTAAATACTGGACATGCGATGGAAGTGATGGTATCCTTGTTCAACTAATCCTCCATGGCTGCAAGAAGTTAGGACACCCAAGAAAGTTATCTCATTCGGCATGACTTCACCCTCTTCTTCCATCTGCGCAAACAAATCTAGTGCCTCACCAGAGAGGCCATTCGCAGCAAAGCCCATTATCATCACTGTCCAGGCAAAATCATCCCGCTTGACCATTCCACAAAATATATCATAGGCCTTTTTTATATCCCCACACTTTGAGTACATGTCAATCAATGAATTTTTCACAGAAATATCCTTCCCTAAACCATGAATGTCACAGTAAGCATGGACATACCGTCCCAAGTCCAGTGCTCCCATCTGGCCGCATGAAGATACAACAGTAGCAATTGTTGCATCATCAACTTTCACTCCAGCAATCTGCATGTCTCTGAATAGCTTAACAGCCTCTTTAGACTGACCTAACTGTGTATATCCAGAAATCATTGAGGTCCAGCAAACCGCATTCCTCTCAGGCAATCCATCAAAAACCCTGCGAGCATCTTCAACCAGCCCACACTTTGCATACATACTAATCAAAGAGGAACCCATATAACAGTTAATCTCAAAACCATTTGTCACAAGTAATGCATGACAGAGCTTTCCGACCTTCATCATGCATGTCCTTGCACAAGCAACTAGAGCATTCAGCAAGGTGACTTCATCCAGCATAACTTGCGCCTTGGCCATTTGGCTAAAGGCCTGCAATGCCTTATTAGGCAGCCCAGCATGTATGTATCCAGCAATGATTGTATTCCAAGAAACTGTATCAGAGGCTCCTTTGGGAGCAGAATCAAGAACTGATCTTGCAGTAGATGGATAACTACAAGACGAGTACATATTGATAAGAGTATTAAGGACAAAGTTATCAGAACTTAAGCCGAGTTTCACAGAAAGGGTATGGAGCTGGGCACCAACAACAACGGAGGGCATGCGGGCGGCGGTAGAAAGAGCAGCGCTAAGGGAGTAGTTATCGATGGGCATGTAGCCAGACCGGCGGAGTAGGGAGAGGAATGAGAGGGAGAGAGATGGGACAGGACCTGAGGAGAGTGAGCGAAGGACAGAGTGGAGCAAGGGTACCTTGAGCAAAAGACCTGAGACGGTTGCATAGGATAGGAGAAGGGGGAGATGACGGTGGGCTAGGCGGGAGATTGGGACAGGGAGGACATATTTACTTTCAGGGAAAGCCTTTCTGGTAATGGAGAAGGAGCGTGTCTTCCCATCGAACATTCGCGACGACAAGCACATCTAGATTCTCAATGGAGCTGACCGATAGCGGAGCAGAATGGAGTGTAGCTGTCACGCGGGGAAGCAACCGGATGATACAGGAAGCTGTCACCCAATACTGCAACCTACATTAAAGGAACCTGGCATAAGACATTGTTTTCTATTCGAACAGGGGCAATTCTCTATGTCCATCAGCAATAACAAAACCAAGATTATATTTTTGCACTCAGAGAATGGAAACAACACACCAACAAGATTATCAGCACCTATTCAATCAGCACCTATTCAACTCCTGAACTCTAACCAACTGGAACGAAAATAAATGCTAACAGACACGCCATTGCTCAACATGAGATATCACAGACATCAAGCGGACATAGCCTAAGAATAACGAGGAATGCACAACAGATCATGCCGTCTACTGCTTTCCCAGGTAGTATCAGATCATGCTTTAACCATGTTTGCAGGTTATCTATCAGGACCACCGCTCCAAGTTAGCTTCACAAGAAATTGCACAATTTGCTAAGGATGACTACGGGCACGGGGTTCGTGTGGGGATTCGATTTCTTTTCTTTATGGAAGCAACTGCTACTAGCAACAGCGTATCCAGGATTAGCTGACGCCCTGGGCCCAAAAAGGGCAAAAAAACAGCCCCAAAAATTAACCCCAGGTTTACTTATACAGGCATATCAAAGGTCAAGCTCATATCACACGAACAAAAATTACTAAAATTAAATCGAAACAAAAATTACCAAAAGGCTTTCTACATTGAACTAACAAACTTTAAACTACAGGAGCTAATGGTCGATGATATTGAACATTTGAACGAATCTATTGAAAGGAGCTAATCAGTGGCGGGTCTAGGATTTGAAGACAGGGTGGTCCTCCTCTTTTTTTTGATATATATGACACATGAATGTTCTAACTAATTATCAATCCCACATAGAAATCCCGTATTTTCATATCTTCATAGCATATCTACAAAAGCAATGTCCGTGGTCCTCTTCATTCTTCAATAATTTTGCAATATAACCTTATTTTATCAAACATAAATGAACACAAATGATGTGCAAAACTATTTGTATGGGTTTGTCGGTTCGTGTTCTGGACAGTGGGTAGCGCAACAAAGAACAAACTCTAAATCAATTAGGGATTTGGCAGTGGGCGAGCTCCGAGCTGGCACCTCAAATCTGACGGTCACCGGGAGTGCTGGAGACCTGAGATGTGGTCTGGGCGGCGGGTGGCGGCTTGCTCCGAGCGCCGGGCCGCCGGGGCAAGGCAGCAGCCCGTAGGGGGGGCGCGGACGCGCGGTGGGCGCGGCTGGCTCTGAGGACCGGATGGATGGACGGAGAAGCAGGAGAGAGGAAGAGGCTCGTGGGCGTCCGGGCGGCGGCGAGACAGGCGGGGTAGCGGGGAAGCGGCGAGGCGGGCGGGGACAGAGACGGCTGGGCATCGTGGACGGGAAGGCTCAGACGTGAAGTGGTGGCTGCGTTGCTTGTTGGGTAAGTGTTATTGGGCTTTTCTTTTTCTCTTCGGCCCATCTCTAAGAGCATCTCCACTCATTCGGCCCCCCGGCTTGAAATAGCACCGTCTAAGGACGTGCCGACGAAAAAATCGGCGTGGGGACGGTCGATTTTCCAACCGTCGCCCCAAGCTCGCCCTAGATGCCGTTTTTTTAAAACCAAATTCGGCCAAACACGACATAAATTTGGAGAAATTTAGGCGTTCCATCAATATTTTGTACAAAATTTGAAACATAATTTAAAAACAAACTAAAAATACTACTACTAGACGTTGCGCCGCCGCCGCCCGCCTTCTACATGCCGAGGAGCCTGTAGAACTTGGTGTAGTCGCCACTGTCATCGTCGCCGTCCCTGCGCCCGCCGCCATCCTTGCTGCACCCTTGACCTGCGTCGCCAATGCGTGGGGGTTTGGATGACCCGGGCGCCTCGTCGTCGCTGTCCTCGAGGACGATGACGCTGGCCTCGTCGTGGCCGCGGCGCCGAGCGACGATCTCCTCGAGGGCACGGCGCTGCGCTCCATCTCCAGCCGGACGTAGTCGTCCCGCGCCCATTTGAGGGCAGTCTCGTCGGCGGCGGTCATGGCCTCATGCTCCTTCTTCAGGCGACGAGCCCCGGCTCGTTCTTCATGGCGACGAGCCCCAATTCCGTCTTCGGCTTGACGAGGCGGTAGGAGGGAGCAGCGGGGCCACGGCCGCCCTCGTTGATGACGAGGGCGCGCCACGGGTGCGCCACCCGAGCGGCGCCTCCCGCGGCTCCGACTTGACGGGGAGGAGCGCCGGCGACCCGACGAGGACGAGGTGGTTGTCTCCATTCGTCTTGGCGTCCAGGAGCTGCCACGGCGGCGAGAGAAGGAGGGGGCGCCGTCGGGTACTCCAACCGCGGCTCGTTGCCGACCTCGATGTGCTCGAGGACGGCTTCGAGCGTGCGCCCGGGGACGTTCCACCATTGGCGCCGCTCGTCGGCGTTGAGGCGGCCGCGGGGTTCGGCGCCTTTCGTCGAGGCGAGCTAGTCGGCGTGGCGGCGGTCGAAGTACGTCGTCCACAGCGTGTTGCTATCGGGGGCGTACCTCGGCTCGTACCGCACACTCTTCGATAACAACGACCGGATGCACACGATCTCGGCGCGTCGATCAGCGCCGGTGGGCGGCGGCGGCACCGGGACGCCGCGGGCGCTGAGCCTCCAGGACCCCGGCACCCGCATGTCTGGTGGGGCCGGGTAGTCCGCCTCGTAGAGGAGGCGGGCCTAGTCCTCGTGCAGGGTGCGACGGCCAAAGCCATTGGCCGCCGCTCCATCGCCGGGGTAGCGCTCGACCATTGTCGTCGGAGGACTGGGAGAGAGGGGAGTGGGCGAGAGGGTCATCGGCGGCGAGGGGAGGGAGGAGTGTGTGCGGCCACCCGCGAGGGAGGGGCCGACTTTTATAGCGACTGGTGGGCAGCGAGCGAGCGGCATGCGTGTCTACGTGGGGAGGGAGGGGGCGGGGCACGCGTTGGCGCGCCTTCACTGCGCCGCCCATGAGGAATCAATGGAAGGCTGACCGGCGCCAGCCTTGGCATTGATTCCCCGCGGGAAACGAGGCGATGAGGACGCGAATGCGGGCTGGTACCTGACTCGGCGGGTCCACTAGGCTTTCGTGCCAAAAATGTTTCCCCCGGCGCCCACGGGCGCTCCCAACGCGTCGGGTTCAGCCTGCGTCTGCCGGCGCCAAAATCGTCCCTAACTAGTAAAATGTGGGCTTCTGGGGGTGCGACTGGGCCTATTTTCGCGCCGGCGATAAAAAAGGGCCTTGGGGGCATGTTGGGGGCGAGTGGAGATGCTCTAACTGCATAGATATAAAGGCCAGACCAAAATTTCCACCACCCTGTAGCTCCGCCCCTGGAGCTAATCCAGAAGGGAAAAGCTTACCATCGCAACGGCCGCGTCCCCCACCTTCTCCGCATGACACGCGTCCAAATGAGAGCCTACATACCATCCTTCGTCCCACATGACACGCGTTCAAGTAAGAGCCCACTTATCATATTTCGTCGAACACACTTGTGCAGCAGGGGCTATGCTTCTGAAACATACACGATGTTGTAAGGTCTATGATGTGTCTATGTTTTGCAACAAAAGAAATTTGTGGAAAATTTATACAACAAGACCTTGGTTACAAAAAAAAATTGCAACAGAATCTTAGTTGCAACAAAACAGCTGTTGCGAAAAATTCCTGTAACAAAACTTGTGTTGCAGGAATAATTCTGCAACAAAACCTATGTTGCAATGGTCGAGACATGTTCAGCTGTTCGATGTGGCAGATCTGACGACTCGCCACCCGGCTGATCTTTTAAAAAGATCAACCGACGGATGCGTAGCGGCCCCCAATCCAGAAACGGGACGAACAACAACCTAGGAAAGCTAGGCCTTCCTTATTTACCACCAATAGGAAGTACGCCTTGATGGTTAGCTCCTCACGCCACGCTAGTTGATAGAAGAAATGAGGACAAGAGAGCCCCTTTGCCTCGTGTTGGTGGCCGGCGAGAGCGCCTTGGTCGGAGGAGGGTGACTGGAAGCAGCGGAGGGCGGGGAACGATGGAGGCTTATGCGGCCCAGGCAAAGGGGGTGGAGCTGAGGGAGGACGAAACGAACAGGGTAGTGTAGCTATAGATCTGGACGTCCAGAAAGCAAAGGCTATTTCTTTCTAATTTCGTCAATCAAAAAATATCGTCTTTACTGCCTCTTTGGTTTGGGAAATAAAAAGTAGGAGGCTTCTCGACCCCTAAACTGGAGACCACACCCGTCTGCCGATCGGTGGGGATCAGTCTATGAAACATTGGTGCGGAGCTGGTCATCCAACCGCGATCACATATATTTCAGAGCAGATTTCAACAAACCGGGTAGAATTTGTGCAAACCGGATGGTTTTCATATAAACCAGACAAAACATTTACATCTCGGACATATTTCAAGTAAACTATAACGGACTAGGCTATCATATTATAACCTAGTCTATTGCCGGCCGCGGTGGTCCCGTTTTACCACAACATGTCTTCCCTATGTCTGGCAGCAAGCTCATCGGACCGTCATGAGCCCTGGAGCTAAATGCTTCAGCGGGAGAGAAAGAATAGCCTTCGCCTCCACAAAGACCGGATCAATGGTTGATTTTTGTGCAGGGGAAGGAGGTCATCGTGGCCTACGCCCCTATGAAGCGGACAAGTCACCAGCTGTATAACAACGAGGCGGTGGGGATGGACTTCCTAGGACCCAAGCGGCGGTGCCTCCCATGGTCTACTTTTCTTCGTTGGCGGCAGCTGCGGACGTGCAGTCTTCGTCGATGTGGCGGCGGTGACGGGGTGTGGCCGACACGGAGTTGGCGCCGTTGTCGTCGGTGCCCCATTCAAATTCCTACGCCGTCGCATCAACCTCACGAACATGGCTTCTTTTTCCGTCCGTCGGACGCGTTGTCGCCATCCCTCGCAACGGATTTGATGGGCGACGACATAGGCCA